GACGCGGGCGTAGTTTAGCGTCTTAACCAGGACGCGGACGTAGTTTAGCGTCTTACCCACGATGCGGATATAGTTTATCGTCTTACCCAGGACGCGGGCGTAGTTTAGCGTCTTAACCAGGACGGCGGGCGTCTTACCCACGATGCGGATATAGTTTATCGTCTTACCCAGGACGCGGGCGTAGTTTAGCGTCTTAACCAGGACGCGGACATAGTTTAGCGTCTTACCCAGGACGCGAATATAGTTTATCGTTTTACCCAGGACGCGGACGTTGTTTATCGTCTCACCCAGGACGAGGACGTAGTTTATCGTCTGATCCAGTACGCTGATGTAGTTGATCGTCTTACCCTGGATGCGAATGTAGTTTATCTTTTCACCCAGGACGCTTTTCGAATATTATTATCATAATTATTTTTTTCATAATACGCAATGACATTTTAGAATTTTTATCGAGTTTTGTATCAGCTAAAAATTAATATGGATGTATTTTAGAAATTTTTGCAGAAACAGAAAATTACAAAGTATTCAAATTAAATGCAGCAGCATTTTCATACAGAAGTGCAAATTTTATTCGATTTTTTAGGTGTTCTGGTAGGAAAAAAGATTCAGAAAACGCGGAAATGACATTATAAACAAACACATATTGCAGAATTTATTTTTCATGTAGAAACAATAAAACGCACAAAACAAGTCATCAATATTAAGATATCGTTCTAAGGATAAGATTATTCTGCAGACGACGACATAAAAAAACGAGGGTTTCTACAAGGCTGACAATAGATATGGCGTCTATCGTTGACATGGGCAGCTGTTAAGAAAACTAAAATTTGTTTAATATCTATGGAAATTGCTTCAAAGAAACACAGTGTCTGTTCGGGATCTAAACTCGATTTTTTTCTTTTTCAGCTATGAATTTATCTGGACCTTAACATAACTTTCTATAGGTCATACCTTACAGAATATGACAACGGGCGTAGCTTGAAAAATATCAATATTTAATTTTCGTATAGAACCTTTTTTTCTCATCAGAATCCATTCTGCGCATTTATAAATCTAACATTCGCCCGTGGATTGAATGGTGCTCTCATGTCGGGTATGCTTCTCCTGCTATTCATGTCGAGGTTCTTGACAAAATCTAAAGAAGGATCTGCAATGTAATCGGTCCTAATTTGGCATTTTGACTTCCATTATTTTCATTTTTTTCCATGATTCCCGACGACATGAATGTAAGCGTGCTACTAGATTGGCATCTAGGTCCCACCCCTTTACTGGTGAAATATCTAAATGCAATCGCCATTTCTTCTTTTCTGAGAGTTACCTGTCTCGCTCTTCCCGCCTGTGGAACACCCTACCCTTGACTTGCTTCCGTGATAAAAATGATCTTCCAAAATTTTAATGCTTGTAACTCGCCTTCTCTCTTCTTGAATCTCGTTCATCTTTTGTCCTTTCATCAATCCTCTTTATGCTCAGTCTTTTCTCTTACTTTCCTCCTTGTAACTCTATGGGTACTAGTGGCATTCCTGCCTTGCTTAGGGTGAAATGAAACACACACACACACACACACACACACACATATATATATATATATATATATATATATATATATATATATTTTAGGTTTTTTTTTGAAATATGGTAATTTCTATGTCCCGATGAATACATATTTTATATAATAATTATAATAGTATGCTCTATTGTGTATCGAGAACTGTTTTTAAAAATAAATGCTGAAGAACTCTAACTGTCCTTTTCATATATATATATATATATATATATATATATATATATATATATATATATATATATATAATTATTTATTCAAAAATTTTAACATAAATATGTTATAAAATCACTACAAAAATAGCCATTTTCTTTTCAACACCTCTGGTCTCTTATCAAGTGATGATGTTGAATGTAGATTGTAGAATAAACGTTTTAAAAGGTTGAAATTAATTAACCACACCTCGTAAGGGGAAACGCTGTTACATAAGCTGGAATGACCAATCAAAATACAAGTCTACGAGAATTCAAAAAACTTGACAACGAAGTAAGGTTATAATAGCTATTAAGTGTTTTATAGTTGGGGTTATACTAAAATAGAATTTATTCTAACTAATAATTATTAAATTGTACGATAAAATTTGAAATTAAATTCAAATTTTATCGTACAATATCGTAAACAAATGTATTATAACTATAAGAGGAAAAGATTCCAAAATACTCATGAACATTGATATAACTCACATTTACCCAAGTAAAAAATAAAATGAATTATATACTACACTAAATTTAATATAACCAACCTAGTTATCACTAACAACTCTTCTCAGTCAACTAGCGTTTTACAAAAGAGCAACATCGTATATCAATTTAAATGTCCTTTGGAAGATTGCATGTTAATACTTATGTTGGTTTTACAACCACGACGATGAAGAAAAGTCTTACGTGTCACTTGAACGATCATAGTTCAATCTCAGAACATTTAAAGAAACGCTCATCTCCACATTCACAGTTTAGAAAGATATTAGTCGAAAACACATCATTACTTCATCAACATAATAAGCAAATCCTTAAAATTCTGGAAGCCGCTTGTATAAAAGAATCGTGGCCCAAAATAGATAAAGTCAATTACGAATATAGCAACAAAGCAATTAAATGTTTATAGAAGCAAAGTGTTATATTAAAAAAGAGGCTAAATTAAAATATTACAATTAAAAAATCTGTAAAAAAAAATCACATAAGCTGCCTTCCTTATATAGTTGTGAAAAAATATTTTGAATTTACGGTTTTAATGCATAAAGCATCCATAGATATTCAACCCCTGAAGATGGTCTCACATAAGATTGAAACTACTTGGGAAAATAAAAATATATTTGAAAGAAATTTGAGAATTTTTCTTAATCATTTTTCTACAGACACCAAAAAATTAATTCGTTGACTTGAAATGATGAAAACTAAAATAAATAGAAAATACATTTAAATTATTTAACCATACATGCTTGAATGAAAATATTGATATATATATATATATATATATATATATATATATATATTTGGCTGGATTCATGTGAGTTTGCGACCCTGGGTTTCACGCTTTTGCGATCGTCAGACAGACTGATTAAAATTTTGAATTTATGTAGATTGCGTGTATTGGTGTTCTTATGAAAGTGGGAGAGAAAATCGTCGTCGTGATGTCACTCATGCTAACGCAAACATAGATGCATGTCCGTACACCCAATGAGGTACGCAGACACATACACACTCACTCGTCCGCCGGGGCTCATCCAGATATAAACATATGTGGACAGTATGGGATTTGACATATGTATGTATATGTGTGCTGTTGTCTATATACATACGCATTTGTATGTTGAAATTCAAAGATCGGAAGTGTAGCGAAAATTTCTCGTGAATGTCTCATGAATGTATATATGTCAGCAATCAGAGCATTTTTATATTTTTTCACAGAATAATATTTCCTCGCATGCACGTATATACGTGTGGGGGGTCTGTGTAAAATTATGATAGGGAAAAAATGCTATTATTTTTATGTATTTAAAGTTTATTTGTTATTATTTTAAAGCCGGTTATCTGCTTGTTTTTGATAATTGCGTATATGTAACTGGTAGAAATTGCAGTTTGTTTTTATTATAAGAATATATATATATATATATATATATATATATATATATATATATATATATATATATATATATATATATATATATATATATATATATATATATATATATATATATATATATATATACAGTTATATTTATACACACACTTATCACACATGTTTGATATGTTTAAATCACGTTGAATTAGTGGTCCTCGTACGCTCACATAAGTTAAGGTCGTATCTGGTGAGTACCGAGATGGGTGACCGCTTTGGAATACCAGCTGCTCTAAGCTTGGGTTGCGGGTGTTGTAATGGAAATTCGAAATCGCAGAGTCGGGTCACAAATCCTATCGGGTTTCGCTTACACGGAAATAACCTTGCGAAAGATAAGAATCTACCACTTCTTGCCCCCAATTATGGGTTAATTAGCAGGACTTGTAATAGTAAATTATTATCTAAAAATAATAAACTACAATTATAAAAACGTGACGGAAAATTTATATATATATATATATATATATATATATATATATATATATATATATATATATATATATAAGAGATGATGTCTGTGTGTTTTTCTGTCTGTCTATGTGATACATTTTCACTCGAGATCCATCCAACCGATTTTGACCAAACTGCATACATCGATAAAGGCGATCAAAAATCGATAAATTCAACTGTTTTCCTCCGATTTCATTCAAATTAGGTATGTAGGTTGCTTACATCATGACGAGTTCAACGATACCTCATTTTTATTTTTATGTCACTGCATTTAGCAGAAAAAAAAGTAAAAATGAAAATTCGATTTCAACACAAATCGGTTTAAAAACAAATCGATTTCAACACAAATGTTAAACTAAAAATTCCCTCAATTTTCAAGCAATTTAATACAGACTTCACTGAATTGTAGCCAACATTAACTTGAGTGTTTAATAGTCATTTAACTTGATAATTGAGTCCACCCATATAGTAAACAGACCCGCATAAATAGCAAAAAAATGGCGATTTTTATTTGGTTCTTTCCTATTTTTCGTTGATCTTTCAGCCAATTTTCATCAAACTTAGCAACTACTTTATTAATGGATCCCCTTTTATATCCCTGCCAAATTGAATTTCAAAAACTCCAAAATAATTGTGGTCTGAAGTGGGCCTGTTTTACCTCTTTATGTCCTCCTCTAACTTCGATTGAAGAAATAAAGACTACTTCTGTTATATCAGTAACTGCATTAATTCAAAATGTTTTTTAATGAAAGTACTTTAAAGTAATTGAAGATAAAATCTGTTACATATAAGCCTGATGCTGTTTTTGCTCCATTCTAATTGAATGCTTTTTCTGATCGACTGGTTGCTAGTTTATTATAATTACGGAGTTTACGTCCGTATCACGTTGAAAAACATTTTCCCGTACGATCACCGAAGTAAAGCAACGTCGAGTGTAGTCAGTACCTAGATGGGTGATCTTTTGGAAATATCAGGTGCTGCAAGATGCGCGAGTGTTGTAATGTATAACGGCGCAGGAATTGGAAATTGTAGAGCCGTGTTCTAATTCCAATCGGGTTCGTTATATTCATTTACACACAAAACTATGAATCCACCTCTTCTCCCCACTCCAACAATAGGCCAATTTATTTATTTATTTTACGCATTTCATCCCAAACAAAGCGGTAGTGCCACTAGTATGCAAGAGAGTGAAAATAAGAGGAAAGACTGGGTATTGGGGTTGGGGGGATTGAGGAAACGATAAAAAGAAGAATAAGGATCAACGTTACAGTTTTTGGATATACATGTATAACTAGTGAGCGAGTCAAAATAGAAGATTAACCAATCAGAAGCCGCAGAACATTGTATCCGTCGTGTATAAAGGCGGCCATTTTTGTTTACCCTACCCGAATGACCAGAGCCAACTTGTGAGGCGAACATGACAGACGGAAGAACTACGCTCTGCTACGATATCCACTGCGAACCTGCACTACGCTTTCCTACTGTCTCCGAAATATTTACTGCCAACCTCTGGTTTTTATACTCGAAGACGACCGTCATGAAAATGTCTAACATAGGTTATGAAGCCCAGATCACGATTTATTTTGACGGGAATGAATCGAGATATAAATTATGGGAGACGAAGTTTTTAGGCTACCTCAGAATACAAAAACTCCATGACATCATCCTTTGCAAAGTCGACCAGGAACCGGGGGTGATGATTTTATGAAAAAAAAAATGCGACCGTGTTCGCTGATTTAATACAGTTCCTGAACGACAGCAGTTTGTATTTAATAATGAGAGAGGCCAAGTACAATGGAAGCCGAGCTCTGCAAATTTTGCGTGAATACTATTTGTCAAAAGGTAAGCCTAAAATTATTGCTTTATATACTGAACTAACCGCGTTAAAGAGACAAGAAAATGAATCAGTAACCAATTATTCGAGCAGAGAATGTCATAAATGTCTTAAAGTAGCAGGTGAGACTCTCTCGGATGGGTTGCTAATAGCCATGGTCTTAAAGGGTTTACCACCGACATTCAAACCATTCACGACAGTTATAGGGATCAAGCCATCAGAAGATGTTGATTGACGTTATAGGAAGTGTGAGAGAAGCAGCTGTTGGTGTTGAAGAGGCAGTTATATTTAACTGTTTCAATAGTCAAAGGGTTGGACTGAGATGTCAACCTAGTAGCACACTTAAATCCATACAGTTGGGGCAAAAGTCAAAATAGCTTGTCAGAGCATTTGCATATCCGTCTTTGAAGAGCTCAAATGCAAAATCCAATTTCTTAAAACTGAGAAAAAGATGTTTCTTTATAGCTCAAATGTGGTTGGATAAGACCCATTTTTTTTCGTTTTTAAATGTGATTTTGTTTTCTGTTATATTGCCTAGAACTAGGAACAAAGATTTTTAGTTTTGGTTTGGATTTGTGATTGTTCACTGTTGTGGTTGGCGTGAGAAACTCAAAGAAAAAAGACATTAGAAGCATAATTAATTTGGCTTGAAAAGTTAATCCTCTTTATCTTGATATATTTTATTCTTATAATGTAAAAATATTTTCTGGCTTTAAATAACTTGAAAGAGTCATAAAAAAATACAAATCAGTCATAAAGAAAACTACTCCAAATCCAAACCCAAACTAGAAATCTTTGCTCCTAGTGGAACAAATAAGGCTCCAGTTCTGGGTGAAAGTGACACTATGACTTGGCCATGAGTAAAGAACACCATACATAGTGCTAAAAATGTAATTGTGATCGTCGTTGAATTTTTTTTTTTTTTTTTCCATATTAAATCAGATCTGTCACCTTCTAACTAATATTTGTTTTGTTACATACAACTCGAATTGTCTCATCAGTGATTATTAACAAAAAAAAAAAGTTAATCAAATTAAAACCAGACTCGTTCTTTTATGATGGAATACAGAATTTGTGTAAACCCAAAGAAAAATAATGATGCTATGTATTTATATGAATAAAGTATTTTTTTAAAGAAAGAAATACTAGAAACTTTTGCATCGACCAAATAATTATCATAATTTTTTTTTCCTTTTTTGAAACAATTCAGCAATATTCATATTTTTTTCTGATCAAAATAAAAAAAATATCTAAAAAGGTGTTTTTGTTTTTGTATGTTATTTATTCTTGAATATTTCAGGCAGAGGTTCAAGAACCACCAAAGAATCTTCCCAATACAATTAATGACCTTGACATTGAAGATGAAGAAGTTGCAATTGAGAATCGGTAAGTTGTACTCTTACTCAAAATAATGCGTTATCGTAACTGGAAAAACCGAATGAAAAAAGAATGTTAACAACAAATACTTTTTCACACCCAACCCAGTTCTGCGGAATCAGAATCAACGTTGAGTTTAAGCAAGCGAATGAGCCAATTGGAGTAAAGTGCCAGGCAGATTTAAATTTTTCCCACTTGTGACGAATGCAGCTATCGATTTTTTTTGCATGCTAGCATGCTAGTTAACATTCGTTTCAGTCAGATGTTGGCTCTCACGCTAGCCAATAGAATCATCCTGACTATTCATGGCAGCCAGCTATTGGCTCTCACTCTGGCCAGTCGAAAATGGCCGCAAACTACATGAAAACTGCCGTAGAAGCATGAAAAAATCGATTATTTCCACTATCGATTGGAGTTGGGAAATGCAAAGTCGGTCTTGGCCTTCCCACTAACTTGGAGCATGTGCATGTGAATTTTGATGCAAATCCGTCGAAAATTGCCGCCGTGCATTCGTTACACACACATCCTGCTTTTTATAGATAGAGATCGAGAAAAGTTCTCAGCCGGACCTAAAAATGATTAAAAAAAAAAGTATCTGATGTTTTCAGTTTCAGATGTTGTTGAAACTTGACTAATGCATGGAATAATAATACAACACAAAATGTACTTAGAACAAAATGTATTGAAACAAGAAATTGTACACAATATTTACATATAGTCTTTTGTATATTCTTGGGAAGACCGTTCCTGGAGAATGTGTTGACTTAGTCGCAGTCGGGCAGAGTCTCTGGATTGAATCTCTTGATTCCTTCCCTCGTCTTCCCGATATTTATATGGTCGGTACTCCACTATGCAAATTAGGTGGATCCTACCACAACAGATGTGGTCAAGCACAGCCTTCTTAAGAAAAAAGAAAACGTTTCCTTGGTTTTATATGTAAACTTCTGTCTGATAAAATAAACACACACACACACATTTTATTTTTTTATTTATGTATTTATTTTATTTTATTTATTTTTATTTATTTATTTATTATTTTTTTTTTAAGCATTTCACCCCAAGCAATTTGGGAGTGCCACTAGTATGCAAGATGTTATAGAGAGTGAAAATAAGAGAAAAGGCTGGGTATAGGGAGGGGGATTGAGGAAAGGATAAAAAGAAGAACAGGGACAAGCCATCAGAATATGTCGATTGACATTAATTTTAAATTTTTTGAAGATTGTACTTATAAGGGAAAGAAGTAAGCGGAAGAGCGTTACCCCGTCGGGAAGAGCAAGAAAACAAACTGTTGCAATAGAAGTGGCGGTAATAGCGAGATTAACCGTTTCCATGCAGGAAACATTCGGTATTCATTATGCAAAAAATTAAAGTGCCTGTTAGTTGGAATCTTTTTCTTAAAATCTTTTTTTTTTCCAGAAAATTAAACCTCCCAAGTCCACGAACTGTCATAGCACTTTCTAACAATGACTGGAGTTTCCTTCCAAGCATTTTGTTTTTAGCAGTCAAGGGAATGAGGAAAGAGTAAAAAGAAGAACGAAGATCAAGTTATCAGATGTCGATTGACATTACATTTAATTTTTTTAAAGATTATTGTTATTAGAGAAGGAAGTAAGAGGAAGGCAGTTCCATCAGCAAATAATCATCCCTAAAAATTTCTTAAAATCTAGAAATAGTTTCCTGCTTTAAATATCCTGCAAAAGGTTGATAAACCGTCAAAAAATCTATCAAATATAATTACGGTATATCTTTTTATTGTTTTTATTTTTTTGTTTATTTTTTTTATTTATTTATTTATTTTTGCACACAATCATAGTTCCGTTACATGTGAGACAAAATGCAGGATATATTTCTTTTCAATATGTTGTCATTTTTTTTTCTCTTCATTTTTGCCAATAAAGAATGAAAGAAAGAGAAAAGAAAGAAAGAACGAGAAAAGAAACGAAATAAGAGCGGGGAGATATTGGCTATCGCTCTTCTTTTCTTTTTTTTCACTTCAACGGAAACTAAGTCATTTCCTATTAGATGCTTGAAGTCTAAAACTATCAAAGTCAAACGCCCACTTCCTAGAAAGTCGCAGATGAAAACAAAACAAATCAAAGAACGATAAATACAAAAAAAAAAAAAAGAAAAGTAAACGTATTTACACCTACCACCCAACCAACCATCATTCCATTACTCTCGCCAAAATCAATCACAGAATTGGGGAAAGTAAAAATTCTTGGCTCCGTACTGTCACTCGTAAGGCAAATCGCGAAAAGTCTTTCTGGCAATGTTCCATATTCTCACGCGTAAAGTTACCAAGACAAGAAGCTTGTGGCATTTTAAAAAAAAAAAAAAAAAATTTCGCTTTACATTTTCTTTTTTATTTTATTTTTTGTTTGGTTTTTTTTTGCTTCCATCAAGGGTTTCAAGAATGTAAATATTGCTTCGATATGCGACGTGTAAAAAAAAAAAAAAAGAAGAAAAAGTGAGAATTTTTTTTTTTTTTTTGTTAAAAAGGTTCCAAGAATTTTGATAGCTTACGCGCGGCTAAGTGCGATGTCTTTAAAACATTTCGAGGCCTGGTTACGTTCGTCTGTCTCCGTGCTTACTGGCCTAAGGTAAAATATTCGCGTTTGACATGTTTAAATTTTACTCGAAACTGTTCTCTTAGAAACACGCAACCAACGGAGAGATACACAGGGAACTGTTTTTTTCTGTCGGGTGTAACAACAAAATTGTCCAAATCGTGTAATAGCATGGGATAATTGTTCATCCTAAAAAAATGTTTAA